GTCCATTCCTCTTGCCCCATGGAACTGAAGCGCCAGAAGAGTGAAGTGCCTCAGTTGGGGGCCACATCAGTGAGGGTTGGGGTTTTTTGCCTCTCACTTGTGTAGTCCCTGACTGATTTTTCTGTGGGTCAGTGCCCACAACCCAAAAAAGTTCCCCACCCCTGCCATAAAGAAAGAAAACATGGGAATCTGTGTATGGCACACAAATTAATATTTTACTTTATTTAAAAAAATAAAGACAATGCTAAAACCTTTTGAGTTTGACATAATATTTTATTTAAAAATGAAGCCTGGCCAACAAGCCCCCAACTGGGACCAAACCCCTATCTCACTGCAGCATTATAACACTCCTGCCCCACCTGAACCCAAATCTGAGCCTATCATACACTGGAACCCCATCATGAGCCTCTTACATCCCCACATCCTCAGTCTTCTGCCACAACACTCCTGCACCATCCACACATCACAAATCTGTGTCCTGAGCCCATCATACTCACAACCTTCTTGCCCTGAGTCCCTCACATATCCAGCCCAAACTCCTGCATCATCACATCCACAAGCCCATGGCTTGCACAATACCCTAACCTTCCATCTGAGCCCAACACTCCCGAGCCTGGAGCCCCCTCCCTGAGCCAACATCCCCTTTTCCTGCATCCAAATTCCCTCCTAGAGCTTGTACTTCTTACCCCTTCCCACACCCAAACCCCTCATTCCCACCCCACTCCTCCTGTCTCAACCTAGTGAGACTGTATAAGGGCTGGGTATAGCAAGTGATGGAGAGGAGGGGAACAGAGAGGATGAGGCCTAAAGGAAGGGGTGGGGAGTCTTGGGGGTGGAATGTGATTTTCGTGCCTTTTTTTTTTTTTTTTTTGCTTGACAAACCTAGGGGTTTCTTGAAATTCTGAAAAGAGTTCCTCGGCCAAATAAAATTGGGAATCACTGTGTTAGGCTAACAAAAAAATCAAGTATAGTCCACAAAGTTTTAAATACATAACTTCATTATTTATATATCACGTTTCTTCAACAAACACTCTAAACTGAAGGTTTTTAAGTTCTGCTGTATTTGAGGTATACACACCCTAAGAAAGAAATTTTGAAAACAGATTTGAAAACTGTTTCTTCCACATCAGTGCTTCTCAACCAGGGATGCAGGTATGCAGAGGTCTTCTGGAGGCATTCATCAACTCATCTAGATATTTGCCTAGTTTTACAACAGACTAAATAAAAAGTACTAGTGAAGTCAGTCTGGAGCCACATGCACCTCGCCCTAAAGCAGGAGGGGCTAGCCAGCAGTTGGCAGAGGGGCTAGCAGGCCAGCACTGGCAGTAGCAGACCATGCTGCATCTCCCCACCCCAGCATTCACTGGCAGTGGCAGCAGGGAAGGCGCAGCAAGGCAACTCTGGCCATGCTACTTCCTTCTGAGGAGTACTGAGACGGTCTTGCCCAGCCACTGGAGCAATGCAGCCGGAGAGCAGTGCCATGTGAGTGGGAGCTACCTTGCAACACCTTCCCCACCACTGCTGATGGCGAGTTTGGGGATGTGGACACACAGGTGGACTAGCAGGGTTGTGGAGCTGTGCCAGCAGCAGGAGGCTGCACCGCACCTCCTGCACTCATCGACAGCAGCAAGGAAGGCGCAGCAAGGCAACTCCAGCTCATGCAGAGCTGCTCTCCATCCATGCCTCTTCCTTCCAGGGAGTGCTGAGGTGCTCCACCCCTCCCCTGTAGCAGCACAGCTGGAGAGCAGCACCACATGAGCTGAAACCGCCTTGCTACACCTTCCTTGCTGCTGCTACTGGTAAGTAAAGGGAGAGGGTCAAACTTGGACTCCTGTTGCTGGTGCCAGCTACACAGCCCACCTAGTCCTTCGGGTCCCTCAACTGGGGCAGAAAGGGGTTGTCCCTGCCCTTGAGCTGGGGCGCCATGTGGCTGATACCCCCCCCATCCTTCCCGTCACAAGTCACCTCTGAAATCAGTACAAACTAAAATTTCATACAGTGACTTGTTTACACTGCTCTATACATACTATTCGCTGAAATGTAAATATAGTACTTATAGTCCAATTATATTATTTTATAATGATATTATAACAATGAGAAAATAAGCCATTTTTCATTAATAGTATGTGGTGACACGGTTGTATTTTTATGTCTGATTACGTATGTATGAGAGTATTTTTAAGTGAGGTGAAACTTAGGGTTACACAAGACATACCAGACTCCTGAACAGGATACAGTAGTCTGGAATAGGGATGTTAAATATTGGTTAATTGATAGTCAAATAACCTCATGAATTCTTATTGGTTAGTGGACTATTCTATAGTCCCTGGGGGCGGAGCTAGCAGCAGCGCAAGGTGCCAGGCGGGAGCTAGTCTGCGAGGGGAGCCAGTTTAAAAACCAGCTCCTCTTGCAGACCAGCTACTTGTTGCTCTGTGCTGCTGCAGGGTGGCAGCAGCCCTTTTCTGCAGGAGGGTAGGGTCTGAGCTCCCAGACCCGGCACAAACAGGAACTGAGCCGGGCTTGCCTGCCTGCCTGGCTCCTAAAACACTTTAAATGCAGAGCCATAGCAGGGGTAAGTCCTGCACCCAGCATGAGCCAGAACTGAGCCGTGCTGCTGGCCAGCTTGCTAAAAAATTTACTGGTTGCAGGGGGGAGGGAATTGCCTGTAGTCTATAGCATTAACCTATAAGCTTTTGCTTATCAATTAACTGACCCTACTATTACATCCCTAGTCTGGAAAGGTTGAGAGGCCTGCCCCCAAAGCTAAAACTCCCAAAAAGAGTATTTTACCAAACTTCCCTGTCAAGGAAACAATCAACCAATCTTTTTGATGATAGTACGTAAAATAAATCTCAGCCCAAATTATATTTTCATTAGTATTACAAATATCTGAGAAAAAATGATTTATACTGAAAAGAATCTTCTCAAACATAACTAATATTTACCACTGCTACTTTAAAGTGAGTATTTCTGATGTCACACAGTTACTCACAGTAATAATACAGTACTTGCTATATTACATCTGCAAAGTGCTTTTCAAATATTGTCAAATTGTTTAACATCTGAGAAACAGAAAATAGACATAAGAAGTTTCTCTGGAACTTCTTCAATGCCAAATAAGAACTTTCATTATTTATAAATTTGGAAAAACAAAAAGGTCTACTATTCAACAGCATGCTGAATTTTAAATTATTTGTCATATCCCATCACTGTATTCCTTTAAAGTTTCATCTAAATAAGAAAAACTCTTACAAAATTTGCTTAAGAAATAATATTTGAACATACCCAGCAGGCCCTGATCATGTAAGCTTCCCAATGTGGGCTGATCCCCAGACTTTGCAAATGCAAGTAATTCACCCATACAACACAGCTACTAGGATAGGGTCTCCAGTGTCCAATCCTGATCCCTTTTATTTCAAGGGGAGATTTGCCACTCACATTCATGGGAACAGGACTAGACATTATTCAGTTCAGAAAGCAGCTTAATTTGCAAGTTATTCCCACACATACTCACAAGCACACCCAGTACTAAAGCAAATGCACAATTATTGTATTCTAATATTTTGGCAATTTACATCTTTAAACCAAAACGTACTGGAGCTCAACAATACTAGTATTTTTCCGCCAGATATGTAAGAACATTCTTTAAACATAGCCACCCATACCCGTTTTTTAAAGTGGGATTTCAGTCTGAATGGTGTGGGGGCGGGGGTTCAAAATTGGCAGCATAGAGATCCAGATTTTATTGTTTCTCAACTGTTTTATACAAAATATGTTCCATGTATATGGGGTGCAGATAGGGGTTTGGTTGGTAGCTTTAACTGCCATCCCTTCAAATTCAGCCAGGAACTTGGAAGCTCACCTGTGTACTTTCTGACTCATCAATCCATACTAATAAAGACTCCACAGGCTGATAAACTCTGCCTTCAGTTACACCTGTGCAATTCCATAATGATTAGATTTTTTAAATTAATGCACCTGAACAACCCCATATTTTCAATAGTGCTGCCCAGGTTTAACCAGCAGTAGGGTTGTTATCAGTGTAACCGAGGACCACATTTAGTCCAGCAACTGGAAGTAAGGCACCAATCCTGCAAATATTCCCCCTGTATTTAAGCATGAATTGTTCAATTGAAGTTATGAGACTGGAGATTTTAATCTACCATCATTCCTCCAACATGCATTAGCTAATACAGAATTCAGATCCCTCTTTTTTTAAGCTGGTGGGCTAAAGCCTATTGTTCTCACAAAATTTAGATACCAATCTAAATACAAACAAGAACAGCTATGTCGTGTAAGAAGATGCCATTTTACAGGCACTTTGCAGAGCAGAGCCACAAGGGCTGTTTTTCTTTTGTTTTAGAAACAAAGTTGTCCAAAACCTAATGCATCGCAACTGAGCCCAGAGCAACTTTTTTTAAAAGTACGCACGTTCTAAATCCCTCAGGCAAATAAAGGGAGGGAGATTAAAATAGAAATATTGACTTCACTATCAATAGTCATTAGAGCAAAGAGAAGCCACCGAACGCATGAAACGTCCTGTTCCATGTGATTTCAGGACACACTCCTGGCGAGGAGCAGTCCCGAAGTTGGAGCTAAAGTGCGGGAGACATTCAGCAGTGCAGCCCCCAGCATCACTAATTATGCGGTCTACAGGCTGCCCCCTCGCCCTGTGGATCTCACACGTACGCCGCGCGACTCTGAGTGTTGCAGGCTTGCACTGCAGCCCACGCCATCCCCGCGCGGAGCCACCCCAAGCACCAGAGTCGCTGTTTCAGCGTCTCCCTGGCAACCTTCCCCCCCAGACCCCTCGCGGGCCGGGCGGGGTGCAGGCTGGAGGAAGTAAGGGGCGGGTGACGGAGGAGCGCGGGGCCAGAGCCGCCCTCGCAGGCTGTTCCCCGGCACTGCAAGCTGCGGTGCCCCCCGCCCGCGCCGCCCCCACTGCCCAGCCACGCCGGATTAGGTAACAGCAGCCGCCGGCGCGCGACGGGCTCGCTCACCTCCCGGGAGACGCGAGGCGGCTGCGGCTCTGCACCAGGCGCGACCGCGCGTCTCTCTCCGTGCGGCGGGGAGCCGGGGGAAGCGAAGCGGCCGGGCTGCCAGCACCGCGGGTCTGAAGGGGCTGGCTGGGCAGGAGGAGCTTCTCCTCTGCCTCCTCCCCGCAGGCGGCGGCAGCCCGGGCCCCTTCCCTCCAGTGCGCAGCGGCAGCACAGGCCGGCGAGCGCGGCGCGCACCTGCAGGAGGAGGAGCTCGGCAAGGGCATTGGGAGGGCTGGCGCCCCGCGTGCTCCTGCGCCCAGCTGCTGAGCAGCCTCTGCCCTTGCCCTCTCCCACGCGCACCCTCCCTTCCCTCCTCTCCTTAGCCTGGCCCTTTGAGGGCAGCCAGCGGCTCAGAGAGCTGCCTTGCTCTGGGGCGGAGGGGTAGCTTGTGGGTCTGTAACAGCAGGAGTCCTGTGGCACCTGAACTGCTACCAGGCTTATGTAGGCATCAGCTTGAGTGGACAAAAACCCACTTTGGCAGATGCATCATTAGTTGGGATTGGTCCTGCTTTGGGCAGGGGGCTGGACTTGATGATCTCCTGAGGTCTCTTCCAGTTCTGTGATTCTACCATCATTTTTTATGCCATGTCCAGTGGTGCTGCAAATTAAGGTGAAAGTCACCAGATACCTCTGACAAAGTGGGGGTTTGCCAACAAACGCTTATGCCCAAATAAATCTGTTAGCCTTTAAAGGGCCACAGGACTCCTTGGTGTTCTTACTTTTTATGTAGCCTTGGCAGAGAGGAAGGTCTGGCCAGTGGTTCACAGGCTTCCTGGGCTAGTCCTGTAGGCTGTGTTTTCTCCCCACTACTGTTAGGGTGTAATTGCACCATGGGTGGGCACAGGCAGCCTCCTGCTAGCTTTAAACTAACTAGCTCACGTGGCAAAAGTAGTAAAGATGTGGCCACACAAGCTTTGGCATAGGCTAGAAATGCATAGCAGCAGTCCATAGAATGCTTGTCTGAGTGGCCAGTGTGCATTACACCCCTACCCCATGTCTCCACTACTGTTGTTTAGGGATGTAAAAATGCAGTTTCAAATGTAACCGTGTAAACTAAAAATCATAGCAGTTGCACACGCTCTGGGCTCCCCAGGAGCAGAACTAGCAAGGGCTGCTGCCAGCCCCACTCCAGGGAGCCAGCGTGTAACCTGTGGGTCCCGTGGGGCTGGAGGAGCCCCCTTTACTGAGGAAAAGGCGGGGAGCTGCTCCAGCCCCTACCAGTTAACCGGTTAACCTTTCATATTCTTACTGTTGTTACCTAGCTAGATTAAAGTGAGTGTGGGTATGCTTATCCTCATTACAATAACACCTTAATTTGTAGCACCACTTTGAATCCAAGTTCCCATCTGTAAAAGGGGGATAACTCCCTACCTTGCAGGAGTGTTTTGATGATAAAGGCATTACAATTTGTTGATAAGATGTTTTTATTACGGCTGTAGAAATACCTAAATCGATTATTTCCAAACCTGTTAAAGGGAATGATAAGTTTGCCTAGCACTTTAGTATTATAGCTAAAACACAATCCCTACTCCAAGTGCTTACAATCTAAACAACACAGAGACTGACAAAACACACAATTTGAAGTCAGGAACGTTGTGTGGATTATTAATGAATGGGGAAGGTGTACATTGAAAAGAAGGATCATCCACGTGAGATGTGACCTAAAGTGATCCTAAAGGAGAGAACAAATGCATGATGGATCTAACATCAGCCATGTTCAGACTCTACACTGGGGTGTTGTTTAGAGGCCTGACCGGACTGACAGTGCTAAAAAAAATCCACGTATTGATTGTTAGGACATGTTCCCTAAAAGCCAGTCATAGATAAGCATTTATTTGAAGAGTGAAATTGTGCTGTGGTTATTGGAAACTGGAAGCTAGACAACTAGCAACCCTCTGTGTTCACAGAGAGAAGGAATAGATCTATTTATTTCCCACTTCCCCTCAATAACAATAATGAATTTCTAGTTATGTCATTTATGAAGTGCATGCTTTTGCTAAAGAGATGGACAAATTATCCTTGCAGATACACCTGGCAGCTCTTTGTGTGTACATACACAGGCACATATGCCACAAACAGAGACATTTTTAAAAGTCTGACTGGAATCGGAGACTGGATTTTATGCAGTTTATTTCTAGCTGCAACAGAAGGCAGCACGGCCAGCTCCCAAAACAAGTTCCTTCTTCAGCCTTAGAGTAGTGGTTGGGTGAATTCAAAACTGAGGTTATTTTCACACATGGACACAGGTATGTATTTCACTTATTTTAAAAACATGAAGGAACACTAATTTCTAAATCTCAGTTCTGCACTTGCTTAGCTATGAGGCCCCTGGGACATTGAGAGGCACCAGTTAAAAATATTACAAACCATTTGATAAAGTGGGTAGATTTTGTTGCTACTTATAATGTAGATTGAGTATCTGGGACTCAGAATTTCTGCAAGAAATAAAATATTATTTTAGATACACAAGACTGGGAATCACCAGACCTGGGCTCTGCTGAAGACTTACTGTAGCTAGTTGCATCAACCAAAATGTTCAGATTATGTAGCTGGTTCAAAACCCATTGAAGTTAACAGGAATCTTTCTGTTGCTTTAGATCTGGTCTTAAATAAAGTTTGTAGGGCAGATTTTTCTGTAGATAGGGGTTGCCTCAATTGAAGTATTGTGACCAGTTCTGGGCACCATATTTCAAGAAAGATGTGGAGAAATTAGAGAAGGTCCAGAGAAGAGCAACAAAAATGATTAAAGGTATAGAAAACATGACACATGAGAGAAGACTGAAAGAACTGGGCTTGTTTAGTTTAGAAAAGAGAAGACTGGGAGGGTACTTGATAGCGATTTTCAACTATCTAAAAGGGTGTTATAAGGAGGAGGGAGAAAAATTGTTCTCCTTGGCCACTGAGAATAGGACAAGAAGCAATGGGTTTACATTTCAGCAAGGGAGGTTTAGGTTGGACATCAGGAAAAACTTCCTTCCTATCAGGGTGGTTAAACACTGGAATAAATTGCTTAGGGAGGTTGTGGAATCTCCATCACTGGAGATATTTAAGAGCAGGTTAGACAGACACTAGTCAGGGATGATCTAGACAGTGCTTGGTCCTGCTGTGAAGGCAGGGGACTGGACTCAATGACCTCTCGAGGTTCCTTCCAATACTAGTGTTCTGTGATGCAGTTCAGCGGCTGTAAATTGACCCCAGGTTCTTGCAGAGATGGAGGGTCTAATCCTGTGTTTGCATGTTGCTTGGTATATGAGTCTTTTTAAGACGTCTTCTAATAAACATAATTTCCTGTCACACCTCTCTCAGGGTATGTTTACACTACAGAGTTTTGTCAGAAAAATGGCCATTTTTCTGCTAAAACCTGTATTACGTCCACACTTCAATCGCATTCTTCTGAAAGTAAATCGAAAGAACAGACGTATTTTTCTGGCATTGGTATTTTTCTGTGAGGAAGAAGCCTTTTTCTGAAACAGCTCTTTCAGAAAAAGGCATGTGTGGACAAGGAGGGGGTTGTTGTTTTCAAAAGAAGAGGCCTCCAGGAAATAACACAGGTGCCCTGGTGGACGTGCCATCCAAAGTAATCAGGACTCTATAGTTCCTTTCTCCTGGCCCCTTTTAAAGCTGCAGGAACCCTGGACAAGCAGGCGGCCTGAGAGCACAGCTCACCATGTTGCTCTCCCTGCCACAGGCTTGCCATTCATGGCACAGCCTGAAGCCCCCCGTGACCCCTCTGGACCTCGCAGGGAGCAGCCCCAGGGGACCCAGAACCCACCTAGGGGGACCAAGAGTTGCACACCTTCCTGATCCAGAATGGAAATCCTGTCCCTCCTTGAGTTGTGGGGCAAGGAGGACACCTTCCAGGATCTCCACTCCAAGCGGTGCAATGCCGACATCTGTGAGCGCATGGCCGAGTCCCTGGCAGAACATGGACACCCACCCCGGACCTTGGAACAGGTCCAGAGTAAGGTCAGGGAGCTCTGCCAGGGATATGCCCAGACCAGAGAGCGCAACTCGCGGTTAGTGGCAGGACCCCACCTGCCCCTATTACCAGGAGCAACACCAGATCTTGGGGAGTGGGGAAACATCTTCCCCGCCTATCATGGTGGACTCTGGCCTCCAGACCCCTGTCGTCGCCTAGCTGAAGGTCACAGCACAGAAGCACCAGGGCCAGCTGGAGGAGGAGGAGACGGAGACAGTGATCCTGTCCCTAGAGCCGGTGCCTGTAAGCCAGGACGTCTCCCAGGTCCTGTCAGATGCTGGGGAGGGATCTTCAGGTGAGTGGTCTGAGTTTGTCACACTTACAGGGTGGGGGAGGCTGGTGCACAGGGGGTGGGGTGCAAGTGTCACTCAGGCTGCGCGGGCTGGACATCGTGCTGCGGTCCACACAAGTGAACCACACCCCGACCTGATGGGCCTGTCAGATGGCAGCTGTCCTCGGCTGCTGGAAAGCTCACCCCTCATGGCTGGCATCTGCCCCCCCAACCTGGAAGGAAGGCCTCCCCCTTCCTCTCCACAATGTTGTGGAGGACACAACATGCCATGACCACCTCAGGGACATTTTGCTCCCCCACGTACAGGCAGGTCAGGAGGCACCTTAATCACACCTTGAGGCGGCCGAAGGCACACTCGATCAGGAACCAGGTGTCCGGTACAGGGTTTAATTAGCCATGGCATAAGGGGGTGGGGCCGCATCCCCCACTATGCACAGTGGCATCTGCACGTCTCCAACTGCAAAGTCATGGCAGGGAAAAATGTGCCCACCTCCAGCTTCCCGTAGAGGCTGGAATTTCTGAAGATGTAGTCATCATGTGCCCTGCACCCGCCACCCAACAAAAATGTCTGTGAACTATCCCTGGTGGTCGACCAGGGCCTGCAGTACCAAGGAAGAGTTGCCCTTCCTATTAATATACTGGGTCCCTCAATGTTCTGGTGCTCGGATCAGTATGTGGTTCCTCATCTATGACCCTAGCGCAGTTCAGGAACTCCTGGGCAGCAAATCTGGCCACAATCAGGTCCAGGTCTCTTGGGCGGATGACCCTCTATAGCAGGATGGAGTTGATGGCCCTCACCAACTGCAGAAGGAAACAAACAAACACAAAAAACAGAATGAGAGAAGTAGTGCCTGAGCCCTTGGGAGGTAGCCACCCCCTCTCCTCCTCCCCTCCCCCCAACACTCCAGGAGCCA